TTACTGTCCAAACCCAGTCATAGATTTATTCATAGATCCAGTCAAAGATGTATTTTAGTCATTTCTGGTTTAAATTGAGATCCCCTCCCTTTATAACTCACTTATCCTCCGCCATTCCCAAGTCAAGGGTCGTATATACTGACCCAATAGCATATCTTGAAAACTAGAGCCAATCAACAGTTTTAAGCATCATTTTCGTCCTCAGTGACCCAGAGTTAGTAACGTTTGACTACATTTATTTCAGAAGCATTTTGGCTGTAGAGCAGTGTAATCACTCAGCACAACAGTATGTGGAGCCCCACACCCAACTAGATTGCATGAATGCTCCCAGAGCCACTCATGAATCCTACCAGCCAAATCCCCCCAGCTCCCAGCACTGTACCCCAGGAATATACCATCTTGCACTGGTTGACTGATACCCCACCCAGGTGTTGGTTACTTTCCTTCCTGTTGCCTCTGGGGAACTAATATCTGGCTGATTCTCCAATTTACAGCATGTTTTAGTGGCAGCCATACCACACAATTCTCATAACTTCACATGCATTAATGCTACACATATATGGATAGAGAAATGACTTTCAGCAGATCACAACCTTTCCCCTGATACGTTACAAGGCATGCCTTGTAAGGTAAGATCACGATTATATAAAAATGAGGAATAGGGGGGTTCCAGGACACTCCCCCAAGGTATAGAATGTTGCAGTGAGTTGGAATAGAGCTAGAGGAGACCAAGTTGGGGTGCTGGGGAAGGGCAGCAGGAACCAGGGGAGCTAAACAGGAGCTGGAGAGTAATTGGATCTGGGGGAGCTGAGGACTGGATTGAAGGAGGCTGGAGCAGGGTTGAGGGAGAGCTGTGGGGGGACAGGATCAGAACTGGAGGGGAGCAAGGGAGGCCCATGGGGCAAACTGTGGATTTACAGGGGAGTCATGAAGGGGCTGGAGGGAAGCTAGGCAGCAGCTGGGGGATGGGAGGGCTAGGTTGAGGCTATGGGGAATTAGGCAGGAACTGGGAGTATCTAGGCAGCAGCTGGGGGTTGGAAGGGCTGGACTAAGGCAGGGAGGCAAAAGTTTGAGGCAGGGATTAGAGGATGATGGGGATAAATTGAGGCTATGCGGGAGCTCAAGGGGAGTGGATTTTGGAATTGGGCCCCAATCTATTCTTGCAACAGGGTCCTCTGGGGCCTTGTTATGGCACTGATTTAGTGCCTATCACTATAGCCTCTAGTACAGTATTGAATTACCTACCAAATTTCCCTCACTTTGTATGAAGAGGCTAATATATCAACTGCTTTTCAAAAAGAAGGGGTATAGTATGATGCAATATTTAATGCTCTCCAACATTCAGTGACAATGGGGTTTAGAGGCATACACTAAGGCCTGGTCGACACTAAGAAATTAGGTCAGTATAACTACATCACTCGGGGGTGTGAAAAATCCACACCCCTGAACAACACAGTTAAACCAACCTAATCCCCAGGACAGACAGCACTAGGTTGATGGGAAAATTCTCCTATTGACCTAGCTACCACCTCTCGGGGAGGTGGAGTACCTACACAGATGGGAGAACCCCTCCCATTGGCGTAGGTAGTGTCCTCACCAAAGCTCTACAGCTGTGTAGCTGTGCCATTGCTGCATTTTAAAGGAAGACTACCTTCAGATGGCAGAGATTTGGGGTATATCAATCAGGCCAATCCAAATAACATCAATCTGCACTTCTATAGCTCCAGCCTAGAATCTCCAAATGGTTTTTAAAGCATTAAATATACCTCACAACAACCCTGTGAAGTAGGCACGGACAGTATTATGATGTCCATTTTACACATGGATAAATTGAAGTGAAGAAAGGTTACTTGCCCTAGGTCATACAGTGAATCACTGATGAAGCCAGGAATAGAACCCAGGAGTCCGAGTCCCAGTCCCCTGCATTCAACAAAAGGCTACACTGCAGCACAAGAATTTTCAGTACAGACAGCCTTGCCGTAAAGGTAAAATTGTTGGGTTTAGTCATAATTTTTTATTTCTTGTAAAAGAAATTTAATTGACAAAGAATTCAAGCCTTGAATAAAGTCTTGGGCTTGTACAACTATTCCCCCTGTCAGAAGAGGCATTGTATTACCTGAAGTTAGAAGGATTTGAATAGTATCATATCTCACTATTACTCAAATTTTTTCATTTACTTGTGTAACTGATATATTTTATTGATGTCTGGCGTCCAGATATATTGGGCCGTAGATGTCAGGTTACCAGTTCATAGACACAGGAATTGGCTGTTAGACGTATAGACTACCCGATATCTACTTAAGCAAAGATGTGCCAGGCTTTTAGCAACTACTTTCTAGTGAAAAATGATTTAGATATCAACTCTCAGGAAAAAAAAGTGTTGGGCAAAGAAAAGACAGAAGATTTCATATTACAAAACTATCTCAAACGTAGGGATTCCTTCAGCGTCTAAGTGATATTACCTTGGTTATCCATTCTCCAGTCCTCAACAATTCATCCTTTATAGGTTTACTATATCAGTATTCATACTACATCCTCCCACCGTTACTGTAAGGATTCCACACTAGTATGCAGCAACCTACTCATTGAAGACATTGGTCTGAACCACAAAGGCAAGACCTAGATGCAAACTTCCCCAACATTTAGACATATTCAGGTTGACAGTTTAAATTCAGTCCATTATGGACACAGGGTCCAAATGAAAAGTCTGAATCCAAACTACTGTTATAGAGATGAAACCAGTTTGAATGCTTGCTCCAAATGTAATGGGTTTTCAAGTTTAGGGTTTTGGTTATGCCCCATCCATAGCTATATGGGGATGTTTTCTCCCTCATTTCCCTTCTGCAATTTTACCCCTCTACCCAACTAAACTCCTGCTGAGTGACCCTGTTCCAGCGAGGTGACCCAGTCAAAGCAATGACAGCATTCCTATTGGTAGCCTTCATTTTCCAACCCGTACGACTGCCTCGCCAACATAGGCCTTTCCTATATATAACCTATTAATTTACATATGCAATACTTACAACATGGGTATAACCAGGCCACTAGCAACAGCAGAACCCGCAGTCCAGCAAGAGAGAAGGAAATAAAATGCCAGAGCTGTAATGAGAGAGAGATATCCAAACTCTTCATGCGTCCCACGTCTGAACAAGTACATGATTCCTCGCTTACCGTTCTCAGCTAGGAGTGCAGCTGCTTCAAGGGAGAGAGAAAAGAAAAGCAGGAGTACAGAAAGGTAAATAGATCCTTTAAAAATACCCACTAACAGTTCTTGTAACTTTCAACCTTGATTATGATTAAATAAAGTTCATAGCCAATAGGTTAAGTCTACAGTGCTAGTTGAGATATACAAGACTTCAGGAAAATGAGAACCATTTGTGTTTACCCTCTGCAGACTGTGATATTATTCTTTTAGATGACCTAAATGGAGAGAAACAGTAGCCATTTAGCCAAGAAAAAGGAACTTCTTGGCTTCTCCCTTTATTAGTCTCTCTGATAGACTCTCTTTCCCTCCCCTATAAACCTCAGAAATGCTATAATTCACAAGCGTCCCAACTCACACATTTTAAATGGGGGACTCAGTTCTTCTGGAGAAGGAAAATAAAATCCACTTTAAAGAAAACCTACGTTGCAGCTAAAGATATTTGGAGACCAAGTTCAAATTACACAAACACAATTTATTCTTAGCCACCATTCAGCAGACTTCTCCTTACCTTCATTAAAGGTTTGATTGGAATATTTGACTCCATCTGGTCCTATCCACACTGTGCCTGATGGACAACTATATTCCGAAATTTCTCTCTCAAATGGGCTTATGCTTAAAAATTAAAGGGAAAAGAATATTAAATGGATGAGTGTAATGCAGAGCATCTGTGCAGAATATATTTATTGGACACTTCTGATAGATATCCCTCAGAAAGAATGCCCTTCTGTATCTTCTCTAGTAGCCCAATCCAACTCCCTTAAAGTTGATCTTAGTTTATTAGTAGTCATGTCCCACTAGATATTCTCCTGCCACTGAAAAAGCTAAAGTTTCCAAAATTAAGGAGTCATGGGTTTCACTCTACAACGCTGGAGAAAAAAAATTCTATTTTAAAAATCCAGTGCCCAATCTGGTCATGACCTCATTACCAGGTGAGTATTATTGTAATACTGTAAAATATCATTAGCACACCAAATTGTTCCTAATAGATCATAGAATCAT